GTGCAGAGCAAGGAAGATGAATACTGACCACTGCCTTTCAAAACAAAAGCATGCTCAGTTAGGAGGGAAGGCACATTCAGTGCCTTCAAAAATTAGAGGTTCTCCATGAAATCAGTGGGGGAGAGACCTATGGGATGACTTGTTAAACATATGTTGTGGTTATTATTAAAAATTAAATGGTTTCCAGGAGAATCGTGGACTATTGCTTGGAAGGGTGATGTGCTCAAAGTTGCTTAACAGAAACCACGTATGGTTCAGAAAGTCCCTGACATCAAAGGACTGGGGGGGTCTGAAGAGAACCAGAGAAATATCACACATCTGTGACCTGTCCTGTACTTTTGGCTATTACTGAAGATAGAATACTGGCCTAGATGTAGCACTAATCTTGCCCTCACACCCACGCTCATTTGGAGATGTCTTGTGGCAAAGGAAAATACTTTTCCTTAAAAATATCAAATTAGTTCCTGACCATATTAGTGTATAATCTCATGCAGCTTTAAGTTGTGTGTTCATGCTTGCATGTGCATCTACAGGATTTCCTTTGCATTTTATTATAAAAATAATGTGGAGATTAAACAGTAACCAAAGCTTGCTTTCACAAAAGCATTATTACTTCAAAAATGGGTCCAGATTATTCATGAGGAAGAGGGGTGGTGGTGGTGGTGATGGTGTGATTCCAAAACACACAAAAACACTTCCACAGGTTTTAAAAATTCTAACAGTAATTACACTAACAGCGTTATTTGTATCACAGTCTCTCCGAAGTTTTTAGAAAAACATCTATGCAGTGCCATGGAGATTCTTAAAAAGTGCATGAAACCACAATCATCAGATGGGTTAGCTCTAGGCAGCTCTTGTTTCCTTTAATTTAGTATATAACCAGGAATCCTTTGGAACATTTGGTAACCAAAACTGAGCTCTCAAGATTTAAAGTGGACCTAAGTAATCTGAAACATGGAAAGCCCACAAAAAGATGCTGGATGCTATTGTGATTTCTTTTTCTTTAAATTACAGACTATTAGGTCATGCTAAAATAAACATTAGTAAGTTCATGTTCTACTTTTCCAGAAACTTAAGGGGGAAAAAAAGGACAAGCATGATAGAATTTTTTCTTCTATATTCTGAAAAAAAAGTTATGTAATCCTTTTTCTAGTGTAGCATATTATAAGAATGAGTTGCTTTCTAAAATTAAAAAGCTAGTTGTCCAAATTTCATGACTGTAGTATAGCTCTCAGAATTGCATAGAATTATGACAATGAAAAGAAACATTAAACTTAATAGTCATATCTATATAAATACCTATTTTTCTATGATGGTTACTGTCCCACAGGAATCTAGTGGGTTTTTTCCTCCAAGTGCTTGCTTTATTAATTAATAAAAGATATGTATATTTAACAGATGTTTACTACTGAAATCCCTGTGTTTACTACCTACAAGAGAAGAAATACATTTAATAATTTTAGTGCATTTGTTTCCACTGCTACCCAGATTTCAGACTGGATTGAAGGGGTTGGGATTTTTTTTCTTGCTCTACTGCCTGCACTTTCTGTAGGTTTCTCTGTTTTGTGGGTGTTTAAAAAAAAAAAAAACCAAAACAGCAAAGCCTTAAATAAAATCTAGTATTGATGAATCTTGCATTTTTCTGTCTTCTATATTATATTCTTTGCAGCATAATCATAATTCTGCACACAGTAGATATTAGTAATGTGCTGTCACTAATAGTAGACTACAATGGTTGCCTGGTTTTAGTTTCAGTGGTTATGTTATTTCATTGTGTTCTAGATGTTAGGCTGTTTCCCTCAGGGGGGAACTCTTATGTGTTATTATCTCTAAGTCATTCTTATGTTTATATCTAAGATCGCTAGAGAGATATTTTCACTGTTTTGCCCACATCATCCCATTTTCCTGCAGCAGCTTTTGCAGGCAGTTCTCCTGCTGCATGCCTGGATTTGGGCATTTGGTTGTGTCCTCCTGCAGCCTGTGCATGCTCTCACTGCTGTCCTACCATGCTCCCTCAGCCACCCCTCTGCACTGTAGGCTAGAGCTTGAATCCTTGGAGCAGGATTTCCCTGATTTGAGCTGTGTGCTATAAGCAGGTCCTGAAGTTCAGGATAAAATAAATACAGCCTTTTATGTATTTTTTAAAAACCCACACAGCAAAACTATCTGTTCTTTTGTGATGAGTTTGCATATGTGTGCGTGCTGCCTTTATGAGAAGCACCGCTGTACCACAGGGCCAGTGCCTGCATCTTTGAATGGTTCTTTGCAGTTGTCTGAAAATGCAGATGGCCAGGTGGCATCACCCACCTTTCAATGCCATCTTGTCCCGCCGGGGCCTCACTGTTGGACCCCTTTGTATTTTCACATTGTCTGTCAGCTTATGAGAGAAGAGGAACTGTAAAAGCATGGCTGATTTCCAGCTGCTCTCAGGTAGGGCACCTGCCAGCTCTCCCCCCTCACTGCTTGCCATCCAAAAGGCCACAGTGCCAGATACAGGGCTCTGGGGGCCAAGATCCGTCCCTCCTGCCATTTGGCAGTGCCTTATTTTTGGACAATTTTGCCAGGTGTCTGCACATGTTGCTTGCTGTTCCAATCTCTTCCAAATTACACAAAAAAGCAGACAAAAAATTAAATTTCACTTTGTGAAAATGCAGGTGTGAGCCTCTCCTGGCCTAGTCAGACTTCATGGCCAAACTCACTTTCTGTTGTCTCACCCAAGCAATGCCCATTCTTCCTTTCTGCCCTCCAGCATCAATGCCTCAGCTTGAGTTTCCAGATGTAGGAGCACAGAGAGACCTTCGTTGCCCCTTTCCCTCTCCACCCCTATTCAGCCAAGACCAGATGGGAGAGGATCAGCATCTTCCTACCAAAGCCAGGATTCTCTTTCTAAGTATGAGCAAAGGTAGAAGGCTCCCTCAGCTGTCTCTTTTAAAAAGTGACATGCTGTTCAAAATAAATGCAGGTCAAATAGCTTGCCAAGCACAAGCAGGGAGGCAGACCCCTGAATCAGTCAGAAGACTTGATTTTAATTCAGCTGGAGAAAGACACTCTAAAAAGGTTGAAGCATCAATACTTCAACATCTTTGCATGGATTTTTTCTTACCTGCTTGACTGTTTCCGTTGGTGGCATCAGCTTCTCCATCTGAGATCCTCTCTTGCGGAAAGTTAATTCTAAGAGGGAGAATTCTCTCTAATTCTCTCTCTGAAAGTCATTGGTGGGAAGTTGGATCTTCTGCTGCCTGCAGCTACTCTGAGTTGAAGTGTCTGCTGCAAAAAATCAAGTGTTTTTCTACGGAGCCAGTCAGACCTCCTGCTCTCTCTGAGGCCTGTTCAAGTGTGCAGTAGGCACGTTGGTCCTTGTTGATCCAGGAAGGGTGTCTGAGCCTTGCAGGGCAGCAGGTCCCAGCATGCTGTCCTGGAGCAGTGCAGGCGCTCTGCCACTTCTACCCTCAGCCCCTTCCAGCAGCTAAATCAGCAGGAGGATTAAATCTGCTCTCCCACAAAATGGAACTGCCTGGTGAGAGGCTTGTGTGTAAGCTCACAGCCCCGGGAAAGCTGGAGACACCTACATGGTGCTCCTTCTTTTTGTCACCTTAATGTAGGGCTACATTCTTTCATCTTCAGGAGCTCTGGCAACATTTGTGCTATTTTAAGAGCTCCAGCTGAAAGGGGATGGGGTTTGTAGTTGGAGTCGTAGAACAGTTTGGGTTGGAAGGGACTTTAAAGATCATCTAGTACCAGCCCTCATGCCATGGGCAGGGACATCTTCCATTAGACCAAGCTGCTCAAAGCTCCATCCAGCCTGTCCCCTTGAACACTTCCAAGGATGGGGCATCCACAGCTTCTCTGGGAAACCTGCTCCAGTGACTGCCTCTCTACAAATGGAGGTGCTGTCTGATAGTCATTTTGGCTCTTCTGAGCCACAGTGATGAGATCAGCTGTCTCTTGCTGATGATTTCACCAACTCAGCTCCCCCAGCTGTGCCTGATTGCTCCAAAAGAGCAGATTTCATTTGTCAGTACTTTTTAGTCAGGTGACTGCCTGTCAGTGTTTTTTAGCCTATTAGTCACCTGGTACAGAAAAGAGGAAAAATCATTACTTATGCTACAGTAATGGTGGCTCTTCTGGTACATGGGCAATAGAGGCACCAGAAGTCATCTATTGTCCTTTACTCTGAATGGGTCTTTACTGTTGGCAAACCTGAGAGAGGTTGGACTGGGGCATCCTGAGATTAGTTTGCTCCATTACCACCCTGAGCAGCAGCAACTCCTTGCTTCCTTGGGTTGCATTTGTTCATCCTCTTTTCTTCCTCAGCTAGGATGCCGGTCAGTGTTTCAGCTTTCCAAACCTCACACCACAATTCCAGCTAGGACATCAACTCTTGCCCATGTATTGCTCTCTCATGCCCCTGCTCCCCTTCATCAACCGCAGCAAACCTTGCCAGCTCAAGTCACATCAGCACCCAAAGCCCTGAGGTGGGAGCAGTGGTTTGGGAGCAGCGGGGCAGAGGGAGGCTGCCAGAGCAGCGTGTTGGCAGCAGTGGTGCGGGCCATTGGGTTTGTGCCACGGTGTGAGCCAAGGGCAGAGCTGGGAGCTGCCCCTGCTGCTGCCCGTGCTAGGTGGGGCAGTGGTGGCACTGCTGGGGACTCCTTGGCCTTGTGCAGAGCTGAGGTGGTTTCCAGGCACAGCCTGGATGGACATTACTGACTTCAGAGGACTTGGTCCTGTCCGTGTGAGTACGTGCTCACCTGGGATCTGTGCGGACAGCACTGCTTAAAGAATCACAGTTCCGTAGGGTAAGTAACCGCTTTCCATTTTGTTTCCTTAAAGAAGTATTTGAAACCCACGATGACTCTAATGCTGTTAACTCCTTACTGAGTTCTACCATTATTATGATTCTAATATTTCTAAGACCCTTCCTTTGGTTTAAAACGGATTGATTTCAGGAATTGAAGCTAGATTTGCTGTTTTGTATAAAAGGTGAAATGACAAATACTGTGTTCTCAGTACTGTGTTCTCATTATTGCTCTTTTATTTTGAAAGAAAATAACCATGAAACTGTTGTTTTCCTTTACTGTGCTTGAACCCTCTCAAGTATGAAACGCAAGTTAGGAGCAGGATTATTGGTTATATTTCTGTATTGTCTTCATTATCCTTTCAGTTGAGATACCAAATGTTGTAAAACATTTTCAAGTGTAACTATCAGATTTTTGAATAGGAACTGTGAATTTGGGGGAAAAAGTGCTACTCTTTATAATAATAAAAAGGAATATATTATTTTATATTTTATATTATTTATCTTCCACCTAAGGGTTTTGGGACACTTTTTTTTTAGTTGAAATTGAAATATTATCTAACCTGGAGTTATCAGGGTGTTTGGAGACTTAGTAAAATTAGTGCTTCACAATTATGGAAGATTTGTAAATTGTAAGAATTCTAAGAATTCTGACAGATTAGGGAAGTTGTGTTTTGTTATACCCAAGTGTTATACCCATGTGCTTTGGGCACATGCATGTGACAATGCATTTTGTAGTGTGATGCTTCTCTGCTTCATGTGGAGAATACTTTGAACTTTGTTATTCATTAAAAATTCTTCCTACTTTGTCTGGGTGAAAAACTTAGTAACACTATGACTATAAGCAGTTACAAGGAGAGTGGTACATCTTTGTCCAGTATTATGCCTCAGACATTTTTTAACAGCAAAAGCTTCTGAGAAAGGTGGTCTAGAAATCAGCATTGTCATGGACAACTTTTGTCTTCTGTGCATAAGGAAAAGTCTTTTATCCAGTAGCATGCTTATTGTTGTAAAATAGGAATTATTTTAACTTTTCACTTAATCCTGTCAAATGGAGTAAATGTTTTCATTATTCATACAAACGTAGCCCCTTTTGTGTGTACCTTGTTGAGCTCTTTACATAATAAAGGCCCTGTAGAAATTGAGATCCCACTAATTGTAGATGTAGCATTGCCCTCACCTGGATCCACTGCATTGTGATTTTGCTGAATTTGTAAGGTAATGAATGAATGAATGAGAGTACCTCACTGTCCTTCATTCTCCTCAGCATTTTAGCTACAACATGTGTTTATCTTGTTTATTTACTTGTTCCAGCTGCTTCATTTTCCCCTGATTCCATAGTCCTTCCATGTCTCTAGTGGCCTGTCCCTGAGGTCATCTGCTTTTTGCTAGAGTGACTTTAGATGTGTGGTGAGCATTGAGGACTATAAACATTTAAGAGAAAATGTTAAATGCCACTGAGAGGACTTGATAATATTTTAACAGGATTTGTTGGGGTCTTTTTTCCAAACAGGAAATAGTCTGTAAATGTGAATAGTGAAGGAGCTAAGTCCATGAGGACTTAGTCCATTACATCTATGTGTCTGTCTTTAATATTGTCTACCTAACAATAGTAGTACATTAGTAGAAACACTTAACAATAGTAGTACCTCAGTAGAAATATCTGGAGAATGAAACTTTTCCTTTGTGATGGTGGAAGATGTTGATATGGGCATTGCATGGGAATGGATTTATAAGAGGTGATGGGAGAAGAGGTAAGGAGTCATCATCATTTTCTCCCTTAAACAAGATGATTTGGGAACCCCAGAAAGTGGAGGTGAGAGTTGTGCTCATTCGTTGAAAACAGAGCTTTGTATTTGAGTACTGGAGCTGTTTCTGCCTCCTGCCTGTATGTACAAAGCCCCACATAAATGTTCCTCAGCCATCAGAGAGCTTCAGTTGGTTGTTCTGAAGCACTTCTGACATCAATAGGTGTTTAGGAACACCTGTTTGCTCACATTGACACCCACCAACAGAGGATGCTGGGGCTGTGTAGAGCTGAACTCGGTATCAAAAGGAAGAATGATTTCTGGAATGAATGGAAAGCCAGAAGGGAAAATGTTTTGTGTGGGGGGAAGAAACATTACATTACTACAGGGCTTCTGCCAAACAGCTTCAGCCTGCTGTGGGGTATGTATAGGGCTCTGCCCTTACACATCTGGAAGAATTGGACAGGATTAACCTCCCCATTACAATGAGGCACTGAACATGTTTTCTGTATATAGCTGTGTCATCCAGGAGGCCTTCTAGCAAGACAAGGAAGACCTGCTGCAAATTTACAAAAGGATGATGGCAGGGGAGAGGGAGATACAAGGGAAATTCCAAAAAGGCCCTCTCGGTTTGCTCAGGCATACCTAGACTTGTCCTCCTTTGAGATTTACCTGTAGCATGTTCATCATTAAGAGGTTTTATTATTTTTTTAAAATTAATTTTATTTTCCTTTGCAGGTCACCTTTTAAGCTGCTATTTCCTGTATAATTAAGCAGAATGAAGGCATTAGGTTCTAGTAAAGTTGGGCCTAATCCAGAATCTTCTCTTATTCAGTCCTTTCTGAGTAAGAAACTCAAGTCTGGGCCCAGCATTTCACATGTTTTGCTGTTACATCTAAATTATTTGTGGTCTGTGGATTTTTATTTTTTTTTAACTACATGAAAACTCCTTTGCTTTTGTCTAATTTTATCTCTTTATGTGTCACTGTCCAGCATAGCATTAGTTGAAATTATGTAAGTATACTGCAAATTGAAGTGCATAATTGCTACTGATAATGCAAGAATGATTCCTACAGTTTATAATTAACAGTATATAATGTTCTGTGCATGGGTTGGATCTGTCCCTTTTAACTTTTCCTTTCTGATTCTTTCCAATCCCTGGTCTTGCCGCATCAGAGCCTTTATGAATGCGCTAGTTTCGCTGGAGTCTAGTCCATTGTTCCTTTTGTTTTTCAGACCAGTAAAAATGGGAAGTACTGGATTCTGGTTTCCTCCAAGAAGAGTCAGCGGAACTGGTTAAGACCAAAATCTGAGGACTTTAGTGGGCAAACATCAGGTGTGCATTGAACAAAGGCTGCTTTAATGCTCTTTAAGTATATGCTTCTTTAAAAATAGTAATATGTATAAGCTTTTGTGTAATGTGTTTGTTATATTTGATACTGCATATAATCATTCATCCTGCAGTTGTGAAAGCACCAGTAAGAATGTGGATTTTAAGTGATAATATGTTGAGACACAAGCAGACAGTATTACTCATAAAATTCTTTCAGCTGGTCTTTGGAAAATTTAATATTTGAGGATCAGTGTTTTTTTAAAGTTTTATCTCCATTGCTCAGTCTATATATCCACATCCAAAAAAAGGAAAAAAGGTGGTTATTTGCTACTCAGAGATCAATACTGACATTCTTAATTGCCTCACCTATTGAGAAGTGATACTGAGATAATAGTGCATACGTGTTCTTTGATAGAACTCTGTCATTATGAAAGATTGGTTCCACACTATATTTGTTCTAATGATGCATTTTTAAGGACACTTAAACACAGTTCAAAGTCAGCTTAATTAGTTTTGATCGTAGAGGAGCAAAACCCAAATTGTTCATCCCTGTGAATGTTCTGACTGGTACAGCAGCTAGGTTACCTGAAATTTTGGAGAAAACAACAGTGATCTTATATTGGCCTGAATATAGGATGGTCTTCAGCCTGAGGTGTGATCTTTGCATTGAGAAAAGGAGTGAGAAGTTGTCAGATGTTCATTTGTTAAGCTTAATATGCTGTTTCATAACAAAGGCTGCTATTGACATCACATCAGATTCACCCTTCTGCATGGCCTCATATCCTGCAGCTCCCCAGCTTGATGCACCTTCAGTTCCTTCCCACCCACCCCAGTGTTACCAGCTCACCCCTATCCTCATGTCCTTAGATATTCCCAATGCCTATGCAGCACTCCCTGAGCCTTCCTAGCCCCACACCCCCATCCTGGTTCTGTGCACTCTCCATCCCTGAGGTGGCTCATCCTCCTTCCCTGTATCTTCCCTGCTGTCCCTGCTTCTCTTGTCACTGTCTGGGCACAGACTCCACTTGCTGCTGAGCTGAAGCAGTGCCGCTCTTATGCAGCAGAGTGTGGAGGCTGTTTCCTTGCCTTTTCTGCTAATCCTGCCTTCCCTGTCTCAGGCTAGGAATGGATTTGGCAGGGGGGCCAGAGGGGCTGGATCCTGTGTACCCCATTGGGGCTGGAGGTGTGCCCTGGCCATGCAGTGAGGGCTGTGACTGCTGTGCTCTCAGCTCTGTGTGGTGCGTCTCATTCTGGTGCCTGTGTGTATAAAAGTACCCTGTGCAAGTGTAGGTCAGGTTGGATTTTTCTTCTCCCCCCTGAACTTCATTTGTCAAGAGAGATTAAACTAAAACAGAATTTTGTTCTACATTCAGGCCAATATGCACTGAAGACCAGTGTGTTCATTAACAGAAGAACAAAATTAATTTTATTAATGTATTCTGATTAAAGCCTATATTTAAAAAAAACCTTTCAATCCACAGATATATCACAACTTTGATATGAATCAGACTCTCCTTTTGATTACATTGGTGGCTTCATTGAAGTCTTTGGAACTGATCCTCATTTACTTTTATCGAAGAAAATTATTGCTCTTAGATCTCCAAACAACTGTTCCTTTTGAACTAGAATTAGTGAACTAGATTGTTGATTATGAGACAGAAAATAAAATTAAGCTGATACTTTGAAAACCTGTGCATTTTCCCACTCATGGAACTGATGTCTCCAGGCTTCATCCCACGAGTGGGAATGAGTTTGAGACAAATCTGAAATCAAGAGAGTCCTTAAAGAAATGCCTTTTCTCTCATGAGGTATCTTTAAAAGAAGTTAGTGTTTCCTTATGCAGTTTAAGGGAATAAAGTGATCTTGCAAAACTGCTAGTTTAAAGGAGGTAGCATAGTTTAACCTGTCATTCAAAGACTTCAGGGTTGAAAGGAAGCAGATTTCCATCTTGGTGTACCAGTACTTCTGTCCTCCTCTGAAGACAAGGGAAAATGGGAAGAAAGGAGGAAAAGGCTTAGACAAAGACATACTCTGTATACACATTTCAAATGGAGGTTTCAAGTCTGAGGATTTCTTATAATGCAGACATTAAAGAGGCACTTCCCCTTCCTCTCCCTGCTTCTCCTGTCCTGCCATGCTTTGAGGGAAGCACAGGCTTTCCTTCCTTCTCGCTTTCTTCCAGGACCATGCTGGGGCACTTGCAAGGACAATGTAGTTTCCCCCCTGGCACACCTGGGCGCTGCTCTCCACTTCTCTCTGGAGCAATTGCTGCCTCCATCTCTGCTGAGCCCCAGCAGGGGTGAGAGGACAGCTAGGGCCAGGGCTCCCTCACTGCCAGCAGGGAAGAGCCCGGTTTGTTTTCCAGGGAGGTGGCGTTGGGCTGGAGCAGCTGCAGCCTGGTGGTGCCTGCCTGGCTCCAGCTGCCCAGCCCCACCTGTCCCAGCAGCTGCGGCCTCCCCGGCCCTGCTGCCAGGGCTGAGGCGCTGCCCGGCCCCGGTGCCGCCCGGCCCGGCCCGGCCCAGCCCGGCTGCCTCCTGCACAGCTGCCCTGGCAGGGACCGGAGGGGACAGCAGCTGCCAGCCATGACACCGGGGCGGGGGTGAGTGCTGGCACTTTCAAGGGAGAAAGGCTAAATTTTGGGGCTTTCCAGCCCTCAAAAATGCTTGCATTGAGTGCTGTCCTCCTTGTCCCTGCTGCTGCAGACCTCACGCTCCACCCTTCCCACTCTGGGTAGCACAGGATTTTGGTATCTATAGTAGCAGTTGTGCTCCAAGGATGAAGTGAAGCTGTCAGCAAGCCCTGACAAAGGAGGGCTGTTGAGTGCCCTGTGGTGCCAGGTGCCCAGTTGCCACTATATGATACCAGATGACAAATTTAAAACTTCTCATCCACAAGTCAGACATGAGGATCACGTCATGCACTTCCTGACAGTGAAAGCCTCCTGTTTAATTGACATTTTGCTATGCCACAGGGGCAGGACTTGGAGTCTCCATCCTGAGCTAGCCAGCTAGCCTGAGTCTGAATGCTTACAGCCTTCGTGTCTCACAGGGTAGCATGAGAAGGCTGGGGATCTCCAGCGCTGGGCTGATAAAACCCTGATCTGTCTAATCTAACCCTAATCCATGGGACTTCTGTCATTCATAGATCAAGTCTCTGTTAGTAGAGGGTGAGTTTACAGGAGAATTTCACCTGGTGTTAGTCATTATTGGCAGTGCATGCATTTTCCCAGTGTAGATGCATAGATGTGCAGTAATCACGGGGAGGGAGGTATATCCAATAGGGAACATGAGCTTTGCCCTCCATAGTGTCTGCATGGGTACTGCTGTGTTTTGTGCAGGCTTTCAAACATTTTGAGGCTTACAGGCTTTGATAGTTGTGTGTGTGTGGGGAGGGGGGGATGTCTGTGCAAACACCAGAGGCGTGGCTGTAATTCCTTTGAAATCGGAAGCTGCCAAAAGGTGCCTGGGTAGGTAGGCCTTTGCCTGATGCCTCCCTTGATCTGACAGAAACTCTGCTCTTCTCCATCAGTGCTTGAGGGGAAAGTTGTGCGGTGTGATTTCAGGGCATATGTGGATCTGTTCATCCTGAGCAATGCATTTTAAGAGTTGCAGCAAATAGTATAAAGAAACCTGTAGGTATTATGTTAGACCAGCTGAACCTAACTTTAAGTTTTATTCAGAAGCATCACATAGCAAGTAAACTTCAAAATCTAAGTTTAGTTACAAACTAGTTGTTTCTTATTTTTTTTTTCCAGTCCCCTTTTGCTTTCTTTTACGACCACATGAAACTTGAGAAGCCATCTAAAGCTAAATCATTTAGTGGAGTTGGGCAATTCCCAAGTGTCCAACAAGAAGGCCTGGTTTAGGCTGCGATGGCCACTGTCATTCCTGGTGATTTGTCAGAAGTAAGAGATACCCAGAAAGTCCCTTCAGGGAAACGTAAGCGTGGTGAAACCAAACCAAGAAAAAACTTTCCTTGCCAACTGTGTGACAAGGCCTTTAACAGTGTTGAGAAATTAAAGGTTCACTCATACTCTCACACAGGAGAGAGGCCCTACAAGTGCACACAACAAGACTGCACCAAGGCCTTTGTTTCTAAGTACAAATTACTAAGGTATTAAACTCTATTTATCTTTCAGATTATATTATCTATTTTATGTTGGCTGTGTTAAGCCGTGTAAAAGTATATATTTCTGTACGCCTTCAGCTGATTGCAGAGAGGATGTGTTAATTAAAGTAGCTATTGGGTTGTTTCTAGAATTCTAAATTGCCTAAGTTTGCAAGCTAATGTCTTTGATTTTGTTTCTTAATTTGTTTTCTGCTTTTGTTTTCCGTTTGTTTGTTTTTGTTTTGTTTTGTTTTGTTTTTAATGAGCGTAGAATTTTCATTTGTATAAGGAATTGTCACAAGAAAAAGAGTATGGACTGAAAGTTCTTTGGCTATGGACTTTTACATGAGTACTTTCATACTTGCCCATATACCCCTGTTACCGTAGCTAAGACCCACCAAAACTAAAGTGTCAATTTAAGAGAAATGGCTCGCGGTTTGCTATATTTAAATTTGTCAAACTGTATTTGTAGTGTCATGCTTTCAGTTAAAAGGTTCTGTTGCAAGCAGCCCTTAGCGTAGTATATAGCTGCCATTAAAAAATGAGCTCATGTGTTTTTTGATCAAAATAATTACTTACAGAATATATCTGTGTTTAAAGGCATATGGCTACTCATTCTCCTGAGAAAACCCACAAGTGTAATTATTGTGAGAAAATGTTTCACCGAAAAGATCACCTAAAGAATCACCTACATACACACAATCCCAACAAAGAGGCCTTTAAGTGTGAAGAATGTGGAAAGAACTACAATACCAAGCTTGGGTTCAAACGTCACCTGGCTTTGCATGCTGCAACAAGTGGTGACCTCACCTGTAAGGTATGTTTGCAGACTTTTGAAAGCACAGGAGTGCTGCTGGAGCACCTAAAAACTCATGCAGGCAAGTCATCGGGTGGAGTGAAGGAGAAAAAGCACCAGTGTGAACACTGTGACCGTCGGTTCTACACCCGAAAGGATGTCCGCAGACACATGGTAGTGCACACTGGAAGAAAGGACTTCCTCTGTCAGTACTGTGCACAGAGATTCGGGCGCAAGGATCACCTCACGCGCCACATGAAGAAAAGTCACAACCAGGAACTTCTGAAGGTCAAAACAGAGCCAATGGACCTTCTAGATCCCTTTACCTGCAATGTTTCTGTGCCTATTAAGGATGAGCTGCTTCCAGTGATGTCTTTACCTTCCAGTGAACTGACATCAAAGCCATTTACAAACACTTTGCAATTAAATCTCTACAACACTCAGATTCAGTCCATGCAGAGTTCTGCATCTGCACACCAAATGGTTGCCACATCGTTACCATTGGGAATGCCTTGTCCAATAGATATGGAGTCTGTCCACCCTTCTCACCAGCTATCGTTGAAATACCCACTCGGTACTACCTCATACTCAATTTCTATGCCTGAAAAAGAACAGCCATTGAAAGGGGAAATAGAAAGTTACCTAATGGAGTTGCAAAGTGGTATGCCTTCTTCATCCCAGGATTCTCAAGCATCTTCATCAAAACTAGGGCTGGATCCACAAGTAGGGCCACTAGATGATGGGTCTGGGGAAGTTTCCCTTTCCAAGGGCTCCGTTCCTATTAGTGAACCTCTAAATGCCCCATCATTGGACTTTTCTCAGCTGTTCAACTTCATACCTGTAAATGGCCCTCCCTATAATCCTTCTGTTTCAGTGGGAAACCTCGGGATGAGTTATACGCAAGAGGAAGCACATTCTTCTATGACTCAACTCCCACCACAAACCCAGGATCCACAAGATCCTAGCAATAGTATAGGTCTTGGGTCTCTGCACTCATTGTCAGCAGCTTTCACAAGCAGTCTAAGCACAACCACCACCCTACCACGATTTCATCAAGCTTTCCAATAGGATGTACAAAGCTGGCTTGTTAACTGTCTATTTGTAGAAATGCCTTAGGTGACCATTTTTAACTTAGTGCCTACTATAAGACATTATGAATTCTCTGCTTTTGTACAGTACCAATCTCATGAAGCCAGTAAGAAATTTAAATTAACTTTTTAAAAATGTTTTGAAAGTGTTTATTCTCAGCTGTGTTTACTTTGGTTTGTTGTTTTTTTTAAACAGTCTCATTGTATTGTTTTCATTTTCACTGCCAATTTACACATTTAAAATGTTCAGTAGAAAGTCATCCCAAGCAAACTCACAACACTCATCCCGTTTTTTAAACTTTTTCAACCATACCAGCTAGTCTGTTTTATTAATGTCAGTGGTAGAACTGCCACTTTTACCTTTTAATATATTCTACTATTTGCAAATAATCCATTTAAAATATGTATCACAAGGATTCCTGAGATTTGGGAAAAAAATCTGCATTCTGTTTCCAAACAAATCCTCTTCCCAAATGGTGACACATTTGACCTGTTCTATGATGACAAATCTAAATTTTTAAAATTAATATAGAATTCAGATTTTTCTGAAAACTTGTGTGTGTATATATAGAAGTCCATATATACACATGTACATATATATAGCATTTTGACTTGTATTGAAGTCATTATAAAAGTTGTTAAAAATTTTGCCATTTTCTGGCTTAAATTTTGGTGGCCTGTTATGGATAACAGAAGAAAAAAAAAATAGTGTAATTCTCTAAAATTAGGGCCAAACAGAATTTCGACAGAAAATCTCTGCTTGCCTAAATGACAGATGTTTCAAGTTGAATTTGAAACTTCTGTTGTGCTTTCGTGACTCTGGTATAGGGAAACAGGCAAAATTAATGGCTGATCTTGAAATACAAAAGTGTTGTAACGTAGTAATGCAGAATATTTTGTCGCAGTTTTTGTTTGAATTCTTAACTTGCTGTTTTTTTCTCTTTAGTAGCATAGAGAGAGTACTGCATAGGAACCTTCCAGTAGTGTGTTCACGGTTGTAGGCGTCAGTCTCCTCCCCGCTGCCACCGCCAAAGGGTGGATCAAGTCCAGCCAGAAAGTGTGTACCTATTTTCGATTCAAAACTAGTGTGCAGTCAGAAAGTGAATGTAAATTTGCAACTACCAGTTTGTTTTGTTTTGTTTTTATTGGAGTGATCTTTTCAGTTGTGTTACATGGTGTGTTATGTCCTCCTAAGCAACAAGTTAGATGTTAATCACACTTTCTACACCTGGGTACTTGGTTAGGGACTTTTTGCCCATTGCCAAGATTTAAAGACAGGACTCTTAGGAGTGAAGTAAAAGCATATTGCTTACACCACTTTTACCTAATGCAATATATATTCTATTCCCCAAACCCTAATAACCAAAAGAGGAAAAAAAAAAACCCTAAAAAAGCAACCAACCCTGTGATGCATAAAAGCAAACTAGATTTGCTGTAATTCAACAATAACATTATTTTCCTTGTCATTTTTGTACAAGGAATTAAAAAATGGAACTCAAGTACATTAGTATCTCTCAAACTATGAATAATGAGAATTCATACAAGGTTTTAAGTGGTTAAACTAAATATACTTCACAGAAACAAAAGTTGCTCCCATTTAAGGAGCTCATGCTCCGGATGTTTTATCAGTAGCTCCTACTGGTTTTTTTAATGCTAGGAGCAATATGCAGGTGTAGTTTTACTATTTTATACATACGTGTATTTAAATTTTATTACTGAAAAATAACATTTTTATAAATGTGTTTGTGTTCCAAAGGCATTAAAATAAGGATGTATTAATAAGGAAAATACCTTTTGAAATTCTGCAAACTACTCCTAGATTTTGGTTTTAGGAGCAGGTTCTCTCAAAGTGGGCGTTTAGCTCTGCTTCACGACTGCTTCCTCTGGTTTCTGTGAAACAGATTGCTCGCTTGCTTACATCTTTAGTTGAATGATTTGTTCAATATTGCTTTTTTTCCATTCACCTTTCTAAAGGAAAGAAAAACACAGATGAACAGAGCACAAGCTGAATGCAACCGAATGTAGCTCTAGTTTACATGAACGACCGTAACGCATCTAAGAAAAACTTGGATTTATTCTCAATCCTTTTAATCTGAGATGAAGATAAATGGACTTAATTCCTGCAGTGGGTTATGTCCCGTGTGGAGCCGAGCAACTGCAACTCTCCCTGCCGCAGAGGAAAGCTGCAGGTGCTTGGCATCCTGCAGCTGGCCCAGCAGCGTGGCCAGGCAGTGCTGCCCTCCCTGGGCAGCCTGTGACACACAAATTTCTAGTCTGGAGCCACTTGTTATCGGCCCCAGCTGCTGAAAGACCTTGTGAAAACCAAAACCCACAGACACTTTGCCAACGCCCGTTTCTTAGTGCGTAGCCAGAACCCTTACTACCTTGTTTGTGCCTTAGCTTCCTGAAAAGGGATTGACATTTCACTTGGCGTTAGATATACATTTCACTTGATAAATAGAGACCTCAGACAAGATATTGAACCTCATTCAGTCAGGGTTTCAGTGGGTGGCTGCACCCAGAGTGTTTGCAGCTGAACTAGGATGTAGGGTAACATGGAAGCAGACTGACCCTTAAAGCAATACCAGCACCACCAGAGTGCTTTTGAGCATCACTTAGGCAGAGTCACTATTGGCCACTACTAAACCATCAGTTTTTAAAACCCGTTTTCTTGATTTCCCATGGATTCTTGGTGGGAGGGGGGAGGGCTGGCTGATCATGCACCACTCTTTGTGCAACTTCTAAACTTCTAGTAAGGTTGTTTTGTTGTTGTTTTTTTTTTTTTTAAATATATATATTTTTGTGTACTTGTTGCTTGTGCTTTATTTAGTAGTAAATTGTGGAATAGAGTGATTTATTGTTAATTTGGCAGTAGCGGTTTTTAAAAACCATATACTGACTGAAACATGAGCCAGAGCTGATTGCTTTATTAAGCTAATAATGAATGTTAAGAGTACATATTTTCAGGATCATTTGCCTAGTGAGCTAAACTTGTATTATAGGCCAATATTTTTTAAAATAAAGCTTGGTCAACCTCTATGTTACACATATTACAAGATATAGCACTTTCAAAAAGAAAACCTAAACCTTTTAAGAAAATTTCTTACAGGTTATGCTTTTTATTATAAAACCTTTTATTATAATTTGTTTCAAGTGCCATTAGATTACATATATGTAGGCCTTTGGTATAATGCTTTGTGTACAAAATGGTAGACATTGTAATTTTAAACAGGTACATTTTTACAGTGTTTTCTTATCAATTTGCTATATTGCACAGAACCAGTGTGTCTTTCTTAAGGGTTTTACAATGGTTTTTACTAGGTTTACATGTTTCAAACTACACTGTCTTCTACTGCCATTTTAAATACCAGTCAAAAACAATTAGGAGTTTGTCCTCACCGTTTGCAAACTGTCTTCTGGAGTTCTTGATGGTAAACTTCGTCAAAAATATTTAACATGCAGTATTTGATACATTTTTTTTTATCACATCCTATCGCTATGCTGCTGTCTGAAGTTAACTTTGGGCCTGATCCTGCATCCGTAAATGCTATGGGGATCCTGCATCCTTTGTTATGTCTGTCTCATACACTGGTTTAGCAGCTTCTCCTGTATTCTTCTCAGTCTATAGATAAGCCTCTGAAATATATGTACTTATCTGGTATGTAGTAAACCATTATAGGCTTAGCTGCCTGTCCTGCTTGCCCCCAGTGTACAGTTTAAACCACAGCTTACTTAGCATCATGCTCAACTTACAAGTAATGCCACAGTAGTTCAAAATGTGTTTGGGTAGTCCCAAAGCTTTTATGCAATAAGGGTGTCTTACTTTTGTTGGAAGGCAGTGTCTTTTGATAACAGTTATCTAGCCCTGGAAGTGACACAGAACTATTGCTAATCATATGTAAACACTTTTCAGTATAAGCTTCAGTGGTACAGTTGAACCAGAGTGAATGTTTATCTCCTCAGAAACACTCCTGCAATATTGTTATATTGGATCATGCTGCTAATGTAACTTGGGATACAACTCCTCTCATGGTGCTACAAACCTCCCTGTCTCATTCAGATGTATTTTTACCCATAGAAAAAAAAGGACTATACTAGACCTATAGTTGTATGATATATTTTTATACTGTGACTTAATTTGTCATTAATGAACTTTTGTGCAACACCACAATGTATTCATATGCACTTGCAAAAGTAAAATTTTGGACATGCAAATTTAAACGCTGACAAGCCCAGCTCTTGTTCACAAAAATAGGTGACTGCTAGTTAATGTTAAATGTGGGCTTTTTATATGGTGTGGAGTGAAGAACATACTATATGTTACTAAAAGCCTTAGACAAAAACTGGGAAGAGTATATTGGTGAATGATGTCACACCCAAACCTGACTCGGATTGCTGAAATTATATTTTTAGCTATAATTGTTTGGACTTGGAAAAATTGTTTGGACTTGTATGCTAAAATTTTTTTAATGATAAAAGTTTTGAGTTGGAAAAAAATAGAGAAAAAAAAAAGAACACAGAAAACCCTGCATTCCAGACTGAATTTGTATATGTTTCTTGCATTTAAAATTTGCTATCCTGTGATATGGAAAATTGAGTTGCTTATCATGTATATGTACTTTAAAATGTATTCACAAACTACTGTTGTATTTGTATAAAATATAGACAAAAAGATTGCATATATATTTTTGTGTATAAGCTCTGTAAAATAGCAATCACGTTATGAAGCTGCAGCAGAACTTCATTTTAAACATTCACATCCAAAGAAACAGACTATTTATTGTCCACATACCCTGATTATAAAATATACCTTGCTGCTATTAAACAATAGTGCTGCAGCTTCTTGTGGCCTACAGTGTTATGTTTGCTGTACAAAAATATGTGAACTCCACAAAATATATCAATAAAATTACAGAATGGTTTTAGTTAATGAATAACTTATGCCTGGCATTTCAATAGATAATCTTGATCTGCATGTTTGGGATTGCAAGAAGTAATTACAGTGTTCATCCAGTTTTGCTGGGAGTAGTTTGCAAAGGCATAACTGTCTTTATAATTTATGGCTGGTAAAATGTCAGTTTTTCAGAAAATCTTAAGGCATAAATATCTGTGTTTCATGATTTCACCAAGGAACAAATCGGATGATGCTATTATGAACTGAAGGAAGCAGTTGAGTTTGCCATCAAATTGTGCTTTGAAACACTGTGAGACACTGGAAGGTAAGTATGGGGTGTCCATAGTGGGACCATTCCTTTGGGACACGTAGGTGATTCCCCTTAATTTCACATCCGTGCAAGTCTCATACATCACTTCTTGTAGTTTGCAGGACAAACTTTGAGGGCGTGCCATGTGCTAGACACAGTATGTTGGATGTCTCTCTGCAGTATTTCCAGGAGAAACTCAGTTGCTTTGATCCCATAGATGATCCCATAGATGATCCCATAGATGTCTGTCTGGCCTGGCAGTGACTTCTGAAGAAGCCAGGCTGATGCCTGGGGAAGAGGTGCCTCACAGCCAGACAAGCAGCCTGCACACAACTGCAGAAACTTACCTCTGCTCATTCCACAGGTGTTCCCTAGCATAGACTGTTGGCCAGGAAAGTAAAAGAGTAGCATTTCACATTTCTTTGCTTTTTGGAGCATGTTTTGTTAACATCTTTAGCACTGTCTGGGTTTCCCTGCTTTTGAGTTCCTTTCTTTCCCAAATCTTGGCTTTTAGGTTCCTTGCTGTAACCTAGCTGGAGAGAAATGATTGTTAAAAAGAGTTGGTGGTTTTCACCTTCGCCACATGCAGACATCTTTCCTTTCTTGTGATCCCTACCCCACTCCTCTGAGCTGACTTATCACTTCTGTGCCACAGGTTTCTAACTTGTTTGAGAGGGTTGGTCTTGTTATTTTGAGAGTCAAAAGCTCAACACATGCTCTATGATATGAAGTACTCTGCAAAACAATTTATAACCACCCACAGACACATATCCCCCACACACACCCTCAAGAGAAAACCACCCTGTTCACTGTGTTACTGTCCTAACAGTGAGGACAGTACAGTGGGTCTCACCCACTGTAACTGATTTAATATGCCCTCATTCCAAGCAGAGAGCCTCTAGAAATTCCATCAGCCCCTGCAGTAATTGCACAGATGACATCTGTGTGTTATATAGAGATCTCTTGATGCAGTCCCTCCAGAATTTCCTTGTTAAATTCAGAGCCACAGACATCTTCCCTTCTGTCTCTCCTGTAACCACTTCTTTCCAAAACTTGCATAAGAAAGTACAGAAAAATGGTTTTGCAGTATCCTCTGTAGCTGGTCTCACTGTCCTCCAGGAGTAGAAGAGGAAGGTTGCTTTAGTTTTCCCCTTCACTTTTCCTCATTCTTTACACCTTCTTTTTCTTTCCACGTACAAGCATGTCCTAGGATGAAAACTGGTTTTTGACAGAGAAATAGAACTGATACAGAGCTACTGCTGGATGAGCAAGAACTGAGCAGCTACATGCTGTTGGTTTCCCTGCTTTGCAAATCAAAACATTCTATAAAACCGGATAGGAATTAAGTTTTCCAAAGTGGCAGCTGCTGTAGTTGGCACAGCAAGGATTGGCGATCACACACAGGCAGCAAGCAGGACAGCAAGATAAACTCTGTTACAAAATTGAGTCTGTACTTAATAGTTCAAGAAGCATTTCGGAAGATTAACTGGTGCTTATCAGTGTAAGCTGAGGCCTTTAGCAAATAAACAGCAACACTCTATTTCTGTTTTGAACAACACCGGAGATAATGGTATTGAAAATGACAGACCCCAGCAGCAGTGTGAAGTTTCAAGTTCCTGCTCGTGGGCTATATCCCAGGTAATTCAGTATGAAAGTTCTCTTCTCCTAATAAAAATGTAACACTTTGCCTGGTATTTTTATCTTTCTATACATTTGTTTATTGATTTATTGATCTGCATGTCCTCAAGTAATGAACATTTTCAGAGAAATAAGTATTTGTAAAAAATATAATGAACAATTCTGTTCTTCATTGTCATTGTCATCACTCAGCCTTTTTACATTTGGGGATATTTGTATCACAAGATCACCAGCTACAGAGCTGGTTTGCCTGAGAGGTGACTGAAAAGACATCAGCTGCCAGCTGAGCTTTCTGAGAACAAGCCATGGTCATGCCTGCTGTGGCTCAGCTGGAAATCCATTTGAATTGATCCCTTGATATTTTACCTGTGGGGCTGATTCTCACTGTTGCACTGAACTGCCACGTACAAAAGAATGGTTTAGTGTCACTTTCATGTGTCAGATCCCTGTTTGATGTGTGCTAAGTAGTGCAGAAAACCTGAAAAGTCACAGTTCCTAAAAATCAGTACATTGCTTGAACTCTGGTGAATATTTTGTGTGCACATGTACGTGTGCATGCATGTATGCATGGGAAAGTAATCCAAGCTGGAACAGTTGCTAAATTAACTTCAGTTTTTTTTTTCATTTTGGTTTCCTCCAAAATGTTTAAGTCTAAAGTGTTTGTGTTTTACAAATCCAAAGTGAATCATATTGTTTATTAAGGTATCCCCAAGTTAGCACAGTGTGTGTCTTCCCAGGCAGGCCGGCAGAGCTTCTTCCAAGTACTTGATTAATCTATGAGAGACAGCAGTTTATCTAAAGGGTGCACAGACTCCAGTGAGGAAGGTGTTTGTCAGCTCTCCTTGTGTAGTCCTAGATACAATTTCAGCAGAAAAGCTCTATAGGCTGTGCCTCTGAAATTAAGAGTTAAGCCAGGCTCAACTCTGGCTTACTGGCTTTTGTGTTAAATTGTTACACACACATGGTCATGGGTAAATCCTTAAAGTTCTTCACAAGTAAATCCTTCACAAGTACTTATATTGAAAATAAAAATAAAATACAGACTTTGGTTATGGTTTAGGGGGACACCATAAGTGGGCAACATCTGAGGTATAACATAAGACTACCAAATATCAAACATTCATGACAGATAAACACAGAATAAAGTCCCAAACTTTCTTAAGTCTCACCTGAAAATTGTCTCCTTTTATTTTGTCAGTGTTTGACTGACAGCGAAGTATTACAGGGTTGCCCCATACTTTATATGTTCTGTTTGGCTTGGGCTGAATTCAGCAGTGTTTTTACAGGAAGCTTCTGCTTACTCACTGAAAGCCTTGCAATAATGTATTTGAATTGTATGACCCATTTTAATGTTGGGCTTAAAACCTTTTGACTTAAGGCACCTCTGTGCCCCACCAGAGTACCCAGGCCACCACTTCAGAGCCACCAAATTTAGTGGATTCTCTTCCCTCTTCCCCCCTACAACCCTCCAAAGAGGTGGTGTTTGCAGGAAGCCACCACATTTGCCATGGCAGTGTATTTAATACACATCCCAGAGCTGGGTGTGATCTGTGTAAATGGGATTGTGCAAGCTGCTGGGAGAGACTCACCCCTTTAGGCATCAGTCTAGGCATCAGCATTAAATCCATGTACCTGGCAAAGCAGCAGCCTCCAGTGCTCGGCTTAGCTCTGACATTACCCCCCTGGGTCCTTTGATGTACATGATTAATTTTGCTCATTAAGCATTGAAGCTGTTTCCTAGTCCTTAAGCTACAAGTCTTAAATTCCACCACTATATTTGGCATCTCTCTGTACCCAGCAAAGTCAGCTTTGCTCCAGGGGCAAGACTGCAAAACCAGTCTTGGACAATTTGGCTGAAAATACTGCACAAGGTGCCTGCCACGTGATAGCAGTCAACCTGCCAGGATAGGTATTGGTCTTTGCATGGCCAGAAAATTCTGCTGTGGGTGAGAGCCTGCAGTTTACATTTCATTGTCTTTATCCCTAAGTTTGGATTCTTTTAGCTCGTCACGAGGTGCTCGTTTGAAATTGTAGTATTAATCTGCAGCATTAGGTCTCAGATTGCTCAGATTGTTATCCCTGGTCCACCTTGGTCACTGAGCCCCCTGTAAATTTGCTGTGAAACCTCACCTGCCTTCCCAGTGCCTCCAGTTAAAACCTCAGTGTGTTCAGGTAAGAAGAGCCTTTGCTTCATGCTCTTGAACACATGGAGTAACCTTAGTGTGAAGGGAAAAAAGCATCAAACAGCTGTTTGGCAATGTGTGTTTGAAACTTGATCTTATTATTTATAAACTAGGGTTTAACCTTTTAAAATGTTTATTATTATTATGTCTCAGCAGTAAAACAGCATCACAGTTCTTGCAGATGTACTTTTTCCTTGCATTTGGGTTTACCTTTCATTGCTTTAATGAAAACTTGCTTGTATTTGTGGTTCCAAGGTGTCATTTGTCTCACCAAAACAGCCAAACTCTGAAACATGAACTGGATTCTTTTCTGGCTTGTTCTTGTAGTGAAGAAAAAAAAAAGAAAAAGAACAAGTTGTTAATCAGTGGCCTATCTTCAGAGCAAGCCTCTGTAGGGACTGGCTCCAGACAATGCTATCACTTACACCTGTGCAATTGATCATATCAGAATTCCTTTCAGGCAACTCTGAATATCATTTGAGGTCTATGAGTTGTGGTCAGAAGCAACATTTGGACTATGAAACTCTGGGCATAGGGAGAATGGAGGTTCATCATCAAATCCTAAACTGAGATCAGAGGGACTAACAGTAGAAGAAGAAAAAAAAAACTTGGTTTCAAACAGAGAAGAAAACCTCTCAGAAGTCACTAAGCCACAGGCTGTGGAACTGTCTTCCTTTGAGTGGGACTGTAATTTAAGTACTGAAGAGCTGCACTTGGCTCCTTTAGCAAGGTTACAAAGTAACCTATTAGAAACACAATGCTACCTCTGTATTGTAAGGCAGTTCTTAGAAGCCTCTGGATAGCCAAGCCTTCAAGGGATTGTTACATAGTACAACCACCAAATGTACAAATAAATTAATCATTGTGGAGAAATATATATATATATATATATATATATATAAAACTATACACTCCTAAACTCTATGAAGTCAGTTCTGATCCCCAGCCCTGTTCCTCTCCTGTTTTAGACAAAACTGGCTATTAAGCACAAGAGTGATGCACCTTGATGAAAACAAAGCTGGTGTTTGGTACGTGCCCTGTGTTGTGCAGGGTTACATCCATGCCTGCCCTTTAAGGCCCTTGGTATCAGGGCTGATTCCTCCTGTGCAGTGACCAAACAAACAGCAGTGGTAACTAAGAGCAATGGCAAACAAAGAGTTTCTATATTCCTGATATGCAAGTGAAATAAGAATGGGGGAAGCAAGTGAGATTCTGTATTCCTTCTCATCCAGAAGCACAGTCTAGATGGGGCAGCTGGTGCAGCACTGGGTGCACAGGTATGTTTTGCCTGCAGAAATGCAACACACAAGCTTGGAACAAACCCATTGATGCTGCAGTTTATTGTAGCTGTGACATAATGGAGCCCACGGGACACAGACTGTGTGCTTCCCCCCTGTCCCTTTTAAAAGTTCCTATTGCACTCTGTACTGATGACTTCTGGCTCCTAGAGCTTCCTTTTCCCTCATGGAAAAGGCAGTGCAATGGGAACAGTGTGGCTGGAGGCTGCTGGGGGTTGCCCTGGGGAAGGGTGGCCGGGAGGGAAGGGGCAGTGTGTCCCCAGCAGCCCTGCTCCCCTCTGCAGGTGGCTCCCCAGCCTGCAGTAAAGCCAGGGCTAAATGGGGCCATGAAGCTTAACATGGACATCCTGCAGCAATTGTGGCTCCTGGGAAGTCACTGGGCCAAATCATCAATGGATTACAGGAAAATGGTGTTCACTAAGAATAAAAGCCTGCTTGCATTTAAATCAATCATATTCACACTGAAAGACTCTGGATGTTCCCTTCCTTTGGTCCTCAGCTGTAAGATTGAGGCAGGATAGTAGGTTACACTGGGGCACTTTACATCCCAGAGAATGCCCCTCTTCCTGTTCAAAAATTCACTGTATTCTCCAACAGCAATACAACAATGTCTACAATGGCAGGGCAAAACAGAAAGATTTCTGGCAGAAAAGGGTATCAAGAAAATTACCTGAAATGGCAGCAAAAGGACAGCTGACAGATGTGGACATGGAATTTGGAAATAAGAATGTGGAAGGTCTGATACAGCCTTTTGAATGAGATTTCAATCAAAGAAATTTGGAAACAGCCCTAATCCTGTCAATTTTATGAACAAAGATTTTATTGCTATTTTATAGCATTCACAATCATCAGAAAGGCTGCTGTAGTTGTCAGCTTAACAGGTCTGTGCTCAGTCTTTTCATCCACACATCCTTCTACCTGTGCCTCTCCACATTCAGCTTTCCCTTTGAACTTCACTGCCACCATAACCTGTTGAAAACAGGCTTGGAGAATTCAGAGCAGAAATGTCTTTCTGGTGCTTTTATATGCTGTATGGCACAGAAGCCTGTTGAAGAACTGGAGCCCTACTAGCACTCAGAAAATAGGCATAAAAATCTTTCTTATGTAGCTGCATCCACTTTCTGCAGCTTTTCATTTCCACCACAACTCAACTGCCTAGAAGACATTCTCTGCAAACATTGGAAATGAAGAATTTACATACAGACTTAACACCTTAGTACTATTTAAGAAAGGAAAGTTAATACCTGTTGTCTCCATGGCTTATTTCACTGCACATTTAAAAACCACACTAAAGATCCTCTGGTCCTCCCCCACCCCCAAAACATCCCTGAGTAACTGATGATGAGCCAGAGAAATGCCCCGAAGCGGGGGTAGCAGTAGGATATTACTTGGCTGGCTCATGCTGCACAACGGGCTGTGGCAGCACCTGGTGGGTCCTGGGCCCTCTTGCGCTGCCACAGTCCCTTCTGGGAGGGGGCAGGAAGGAGGAGCCTTGTGCTGTCAGGCAGTCCCATCTGCAGGAACTGTCCCACCCTTGGAGGTCTCTCGGCATCCCTTAGTCTTTGCACTCTCACATTTTATCAAGTCCTGTTAGCACCTGTTCATCTAGATCTTCCCCAGCCTGCTCCATACTGCCAGATGATAACCCACATTCTTCATTCCCACTCAGCTGTGGTCCAAGTTGGTTTCTCTGTGAATTGCTGCCACAGATTTCTCCAGATTGTCCTAAATGTCAATACTGGGGAAGATCTCCATCACTGATTCACTGAGGAGTGATGTCTTTGAGACTCCCTGGTCCAGCTGATATAGAGTTCAGGGAGGGTCAGGAAATCACTTTGAGACATCAGGTTTGTGAAAAACTGAACCCATCTCAAGGAGGAGAACACTCCAGTTCTGCTTGCACATGGTCTGGGTACTCTTGTAACCCCCTCTCAGCAGCCTGCCGTCTACATTATACACATCCAGATTAAAAAAAAAAAAAAATAAAAAATTGAAAGAAAACACCAGGACTGCCTGCAGTCAGTGCTGCCCAAAAAGAAACCCTGGAGAAAGAGGCACTGTCAGTCTGAAGTCCCATGGTAGAATCTGTACTGAAAAATCTGAAGAGTGAGGAGGTAGGAAATCGCTTCCAAGCTTTCCAAAATATTTGTCATCATGTACAGAAAGATACTGGAATATTCAAAAATCCTCAACTGTATAGGTCCCATAAGGGTGCTCTGCTGTCTGGGCAGTACAGCTTGTACCAAACACTATGGCAGTTAGCACAAGCACTGCAAATATGTGAGAGGGTCAAAATTCAAAAGAGCCCTTTAAAAACCACATGGACCACTAACACAAAATTATGTTTCTTTGATTTCTGCCAGAACAGCTCTGTAAATTGAGCAATAATTTTTCTAAGAAGGATCCAGAAATAAAATACACACCTGTAGTACTGCATGGGGTGTGAGGGGAAGATGACCAAATACTTATGTGTAATTCTAGTTACTGTATCCAAAGGATGATGCACAACAATAATTTGTCTTTATGCTGCTATTAAGGTTGCAGTACTGCATGGGCAAAGCTGAGCACCCAAACCAGTCCCCTTGTCCCAGTTATGTTTAAGTGGTAGGGTCCTACAAACACAGTTTTATATTTATGCCTGCCATAGCATCATCAAATGTTAGCACTCACCACTTCAGCTGCTTCCACTAAGAAAGACTTTGAGCTGTTTAATGCACCTGATGCTGATCATTCCTGCCTGGAGCCATGGTGAAATGCAATCACCTGTCACTGTTCTATTTATTCCTGGGGCATTTTGCTAGAGGCATTCAATGGGTGGAACTTATTTCTTTTTCTTTTGAGATTAGAAATTATGTGAAATACTTATGAGTTAATAATTTTTTAGCTTTAAATCTGTTTGCCTTGATTTTCTAGAGATTTGCTTCAGGGCTGAAGGAGAATGTTTCCAGGTGAACCTGATTTGGTTCTGACAGTTGGGACAGATGCAGTTCATTTGGGGGAGGGAGGGAAAATGGTGAAGGGAGGATAAAAGGCTTTGGAAGGTGGTTTGGAGTCCTTTCTCTCAGGGAAGCTTTGTAGTCTTCTGTCTTAGTAGCTGCCTGTTGTTTTCTCCTTCATATTATGCCATCACCTATTCCTCTTAATTGTTTTCTTTCTTTTGAGTATTCCCCCTCTGCAAATTTGCGCCCCTGCAGCAGCCCTTTAGTTATCCCTGGCAAAGACAGCAAAAGCTTTTTGGGAGGAGCTTCCTCAGCCAGGACTCGCCGCTTGCCCTCACGCCTGTCCTGGTGCTCCATTGACTGGGAGCAGCTCTGCCTCCTGCAGCCCTTGGGATCTGGGGGCTTTGGCTCTGTCTACAAAGCCACCTACCATGGTGCAACAGTGGCTGTGAAGCAGGTGAAGAAGAGCAGCAAAAACCGGCTGGCATCGCGGCAGAGCTTCTGGGCTGAGCTGAATGTGGCCCAGCTCCAACACAACAATGTGGTCCGTGTGGTGGCTGCCAGCACCTGTGCCCCAGCCAGCGAGAACAGCCTGGGCACCATCATCATGGAGTACGTGGGTAACATCACTCTGCACCATGTCATTTATGGCACTGGGGATGCATGGAGACAGGGGGAGGATGAGGAAGAAGGATGTGGAGGGAAGGCCCTGAGCATGGAAGAGACTGTGTGCTATTCTTGTGACATCACGACAGGCTTAGCCTTTCTGCACTCACAGGACATTGTGCACTTGGACCTGAAGCCTGCAAATGTTTTCATCACTGAGCAGGGAGTGTGCAAGATTGGAGACTTTGGGTGCTCCCAGAAACTGGAGGAGGGCTCATCCCAGAGCGCCCGTGCTTGCCAGCAAGGGGGCACGTACACCCACCGTGCCCCTGAGCTCCTCAAGGGCGAGAGGGTCACTGCCAAGGCAGACATCTACTCGTTTGCCATCACCCTGTGGCAGATGGTGACGCACGAGCAGCCGTACCTGGGCGAGCGGCAGCACGTGCTCTACGCCGTGGTCGCCTACAACCTGCGCCCGTCTCTGGCTGCCCCGGAGTTCCACGAGTGCCCCGTGGGCCGGGCCCTGCACAGCATCGTCAGCTGCTGCTGGAAGGCCAACGCAGAGGAGCGTCTGCGTGCAGACCAGCTGCTCCCCAGCCTCAGGGCCCTCAAGCAGCGCCTCTAGGAAAACTCAGCACTCTTTATATTCCTTCTGTTGAATTTTTTTTCCCTCTACCCTTCCTCTGAACATAATTAATTCAGCCACTGTGTGATCTAAAGGTTTTGTTGCTGTTTTTTATACTGGAAAAAAATACCCCAAACTGTTTTGATATAGGAAAATTAAAATTAGAGAGATTTATTGAAACTATGGGATTTTACCCTGGAAGGGGATAGTGGCAAAGATAATGTTTTTTCTGTTTTTTTCTGGTTGATGTGTTGTGTAATGCCTTGCTCACTAGGAAATGTGATGTGCAGAAAAACTGTTGGTTGTAATTAAGTGAACTAAAAACCAGGGTCTGCTTTTGGAAGGTTCTTTACGCATAATACCTTTTGGTATTTTTAAAATGTCAAATATGAGTAGTTCTTGACACCAACTAGGGTAGTACACTTCAGCTTTTCCTCTTCACTAACCAAGGAATGAGTATGTATTACAAATCAATTAATGCAGAAAAATAAATACAGGGTGTCAGTGGTCTATTTAACTTGTTCTTAGATGTACCTAATTTCAGTAAGTATGCTGCTTCTGATATGGAAAATGTGAACTACTCACATACTCCTTGAAATAAAGAACCTTTTTGTCAGTCTAAGGCTACTAAGAGTAAGAAGTTGCATTAACAACTTGTCCTTTTATAAGACTTCCCTGCTACCAGGTGTGTCAGTAGCAACTTGCTAGTTGGAACACTGTAAATTTTGAAGCATTATAAGAAGATTTTGTGCAGAATAGAGTTTAAAAAAGGTGGGAGGAAGAATGGTAAAGTGAGGATTATTTTGCTTTATAACACATGGCTCAGTGTTGGACAAGATACTGGAAGTACTGAAAAGGAAGCTTGCTTACAGCAGTAATAATGTTCCTCTGCTGGTGCTCAAAGCATACACTATTGAACTATCCTGTGCACTGCTTATGTCTTATCTGCTATCTTTCCTAATCTGGTTGTAGTGTGTCTGGGAAAGGAAGTGCTGGAGGCAACACTGAAGACAAAAAGCTCTGATCCCTGACTTATCAGAGCTGATAATTGTACATCTGCACCCTTATCTGGAGCTGCCTGCTGTAGCTGATATTGCCATTCTGCTCAAAGCCTCTGCTTCTTTTTAAGACAGGAGAAAGAGTGATGTTTCAGTCAAATTGTTTTTCTTCTTTACCCTTCCTCCCCCCTGCTTCCATTCTGGAAAAAAAAAAATCCCAAAGGAATGGAGCCAGTTTCCTGATTTCTGACACACATCTGTTCTTAGCCCCGTGAAATCCTGGAAATGAGCAACTATGTGAATTTGAGATGATTCTGTAGGTCTTTATGGTATTTGGGTTGGTAATTGAAATTAATGGTTTATAAAGCATATCTGAGCTTAACTATTTCTTGGTCTTCTGTCCCCCTGAAGTGGAAATAGAAAATGCTGGCTGGAATAAAAAACCCTGAAGTAAATTCTGGGAAAAGTTTCCTGTGTTTCTCTGTCAAAATAATTATGCTATAGAACCAGAACTTTTTTTGTGTGTGTGTATTGTGTAACTTATTTAATAAAGAAGTTGTTTTATAGAAGTTATGATAATAAGTCAGTTACCTTTTGAAATGATTAGCTGAGGGCATGCAAGATAAATTTTTAGATAAAGCCATTGACGTGCCTTACCTCAATATCAAGCAATAAAAATGTTTCTGCAGCTTTGAAAAGAATAAAGAATTGAATTAATTTTTTCTAGTAGTTCCTAAATGCTTGTGTTGTATTTATTTTGCCAGTCTAGGAAGCTTGCTGCTTATACTGCTAGAAACCTGTGATTTTTTGCTTAATGATACTTTAGCATCAACAAGTGCTACTTGAGCCTCTGTGAAAAATCAAGCACCCTTCAAATTCTCTGTTGTACTTGACAGAAGGATACTGAATGGCCAAGGTCTACTCTTGAAGTATAATCAGCTCTGCAGATGTTTCTGTCAATTTTATGGGATTCTCTTTTGATAGTGTGAGAGAGAACTCTGCACAGCACTCAAGATGTAGGCACACTGTACTCTGCTGCCATAATGATGGTCTCTGTTTTATTAACTTCAAAGGTTTTGTTTTGTTTTTTGATTGCTAATGAGCTCTGAGTTGATACTAATCAAGAAATATCTCCATCCTAACAGCTCAGAATCCTTGGTTCTATGTGAGATGGTAAGTTTGCCTGTTTGCCTCACTTTACAGTAATATACCTTGAATTTCTTTCTGCCAGTTTGTAGTTGGTCCTTGCAATTAAATAACTCCACCATCAGCATTTTTATTTCTATTCTGGCTCTCCATCCTGCACTTCATTTGTGGATATGCTGGGCAGCAGAGGATCCCCTGAAACACTGGTGGGCACTTTCTCCTGCTGGGAGAACTGGCAGTTTTACCCCCTGTGCCCATCTTTGACTTACCCAGCCCCAGGATTTCTCTCCTAAGTGTGGCTGCTTAGTACCTTTCAAAAGTTTGTAGTGAAGGATTTTTTAAATACCTCTGGAAACCCTGAGGGAACATATCAATCAGTGCCTTATCAACATGCTGTCACTGCTCCTAAAGAATTCCAATACAATCCAACTGTGAAGTGCAATTCTTCCAATGAAAGCAATATTGGCTCCTTCTAAACAAATCATTTCAATGATGAGATGATCTGTTATTTGTATCTGTTATTTCCTTTAATATAGAATCTGCTAATGTATCTTGTACAGATGTCACTCATGGAACTAGGAAATTGATTTTTTTAAAGACTTCCCTGGGATATGAACCTGGAGAAAAGAAGGGCCAACAACACCTGGTTGATTTTCAAGTATTGCCTTCTCCAAGCTCAAGACTGGTCCATCCCCACGAGCAGGAAATCAGGTAAAGGTGACAGGATGCCTCCAAGGATAAACAAGGAGCTTCTGATTAAACTCAAGCATAAATAATAAATATGCAAGAGTTGAGAGACCAGTGTGGGGTCTGAAACAAAGAATATTTACTATTGATGAAGAAGGATCAGGTTAGGGAACACTGAAACAAACAAGGTGTACAGAAGTTCATTGGCCCTGATGGGATGCATTCACAAATGCTGAGGGAGATTGCCAATGTCATTGCTAGACAACTCTAGGCTGTCTTTGGAAGGTCATGGTGCTCAGGAGAGAATTCTGAAGTCTGAAAGAAAACAAATGTAACTCCTGTCTGCAAAATGGCCAAGAAGGAGGATCTGGAAAACTTAGAGCTAGTCAGCCTCATCTAAATCCCTGGAAAACTGGTGGGAAAAATAACTCTGGAAATCATTGCCAAATGTATGAAGGACAAAAAGTGATTTGGAGTAGTCATCAGGGATTTATAAAGAAGAAATCATGCTTGACCAACTTATAGCCTTTTGCTATGAGATTACTAGCTGCTGGAGGGCAGGGGTGGTTGCTCATCTTGACCTTAGGGAGGTTTTTAGCACTGTTTGCCATTACATCCTCAGAAGTTGATGAAGTACGGACTAAATAGTGAAAACTGAGAAGTTGATGAAGTACTGACTAAATAGTGAAAACTGAAAATTAGCTGAGCTACTGGGCTCAAAGAGTTGTGATCGGTGACATGAAGTCCAGTGGGAGACCAGTCATTAGTGGTGAATCCCAGAGATTGGCACTGGGCTGGCTAACATCTGCATTGAGGGCTTGGATAGTGGGATGGAGCACCCACGGCAAGTTTGCAGGCGATTCAGAATTGGACGGAGCAGGCAATACCTTGGGTGGTTGTGCTGGTGTTCAGAGCCATCACCAAGCTGCAGAAATGTGCTGATGGCAACCAGTGCAGGGAAACCCAGCGTCTGGCCGTGCAGCAGGACGCAGCCGGGGCCGAGGGCTGGGAAGGAGCTCTGCGGATGGAGCTGGAGCTGCGGGCAGCCACGGAGCAGAACATGAGCGAGCAATGCACCCTTGCGGCAGAGGCGGCCCACAGCACCGGGGTGCGCTCCGGAGGCTGCTGCCAGCTCCTCAGCACGGCCGCGGGAGATTATTGGAGATAATCTCCTCACTCAGCCCCGGTGAGACACACGCAGGGCAATGTGTCAGGGCTCTGCCGGAACAAGAAAGTCACGGAGGCACTTTCGGGGGCCATTCATTGATCACAGAATTGGAACTTCTGCATGTGAGGAGAAACTGAGAGATGGGAGTGTTCAGTCTCAAAAAAGAAGGCTCGAGGGGATCTTACCAGTTTGTAGAAATACTGATAGGAGGCAGTATTTATCATCCAATAAAGACGGAGCCAGTGTCTTCTCAGTGCTGCTCAGTGGCAGGACGAGATGTAATGGACACAAACAGGAGGACAAGAAACCCTGTTTAAATGCAAGAGAAAACATTTTTACTGTGAAAATGGTCGGACACTGGAGCAGGTTGTTCAGAAGGGTTAAGGAGTCTTCATCCTTGGAGATACTCAGAGCCCAGCTTGACATGGTACATTACAAGCAGCTCTAGTTGACCCTGTTTTGGAAGGGGTTGGACTAGACAGTCTTCAGAGATCACTTCTAACCACAGAAGTTCTCCAATTATAAAAAGCATGAGTTAAAAGGTCTGATTCTGGCCTTTTTTCCTTTTATTTTATAAAAAATTGCATTCACCATCCCAATCTCCCCTGATGCGTCTCTTTCCTCAATAATAACATTCATAGATGTTTGAATTTCAGACATCTCCTGAGTTCTACAAAAATCCTTCTAGCTTGAGCCTATTTTGTGTTTCCTTCAGGACAACATACATGCAAGACAACTCTGCTTCTTTACAATGGCTTTGTTATCTTGGGGGGTTAAAATGTTTAGGTGGGGATAGTCTTGATCTTGTTTGCGGGACTTTTTTTGTTTGTTTTGTTTTTCTTTTAAAAACCTGACATAAATAGATCTGCCAGTGAGTCTTGGCAGATTTCTTGTTCTTGATATTCTGAAAATAAGAAATTTTGGAGTTTCTGTTAGTTCCCTGAAGGATTTTTTCTCCCTCCATTTTTATATGTAATCCACCAGACTTTTTTTTCTTTTTGTTTTCTTCATCTGGACCCAGCTTCAGGTTTTTAAAAGATTCTTTCCTGCATCTAAAGCTGGAATGAGCTAATGAGTGTAGCTGCACTTCGCTATTAACTTTGCCACACTTGCATACCTACAAATAAACTGCCAATAGAAGGCACATGATGCTAGCAGAGCAGTTGCAGACAATTGTGTCACAACTCTAAGGGGATTCTGTTCATCCAGATTTTTCTCTTTCTATAAACTGGTTTTGTCCTTTCTCCTTGCCTATATATACGTATGCAACAGAGCTCCAGATGGTTAGCAAGACATGGTTCTAAGTTATAACCCTTAAGGGCTACTTGTACCTAATTTATTTATTCTCTTTGTTTCTGGAACTGATTGCCAGAAGCTTGATCAGCCTAAACAGGGGATTTATTGAAGTATTGCAGAGATTCAGATAATGCAAGTGTAAGCCTGGGAATTGGTGGTATTGGAATGTCCTTGACAGCCAGGAATGCTCTATTCAAGGCATGAGCTATCTGATGCTAACAACATCAAATAAGAATGTACCTCCTCAAATAAGAATCACCACTCATCTTTACTGTGTTCTGGGGAAGGAACAAAGCCTCATTTCTCCCAGCTGGTAAATGTAAAGGTCAGGTCTTTCTATTAAGATCAGATTAGATCTTAAGATCAGGTCAGATCTATCTTACTATTAACCAAATTTCACAGCTTGATATAATTATTTTCTTTGGAAACTCAGCTATTCTGGTGTTTTGTTTATTGTTTGTTTATTTGTTTGTTTTGGGTTTTGTTTTTAATACGTTGTGTGCTGTTCCTGGGACCCTGGGATGCTATGTCACAGTAGCCAGCTTCTCAAGGTGAGCTTTTTGTTTTATGTTTTCTGTCCCTAAGCAGCACAAGCTGCCTTTCAAACTTCCAGCTCTGCAGCACTGAGAGCTAACTCTTCAAAACTGGGTGGTTAGCTCCTGCCTCATAGCAGTCTGTGGTAGCCACAGCCTGCATGGAAACCTCAGCTCCTTCTCATTAGTCTCCCAGTACCTAACTACCAGACCTGGTTGCATTTTCTAATTTTGGAAAGTATATATAAAGAAGATACTGGAAAGTGCTTGCATTTTCATGGATACTAACCAACAGCAGCAGCCTTGGACATATTATCCATATTAAAGTGTTGTATTTTGTGCTTTCTTGGTTATACAGAGTATTGTCCTCTAAGGGAAAGTATAAGTTAAAAGTTCTGATTCTGGCCTTTTTTTCTTATATTTATAAAAAATGTCATTCACCATCCCAATCTTCCGTGTCATGTCTCCTTACTCAAATGGGCTCATGTATAAAGTTTGACAGGATGCACTTAATAATGATTTTTAATGCACTTATAAATGATTTTATGTAATTTTACCTAATTCAAACTGAATCCCCAGATAAGAGTCAATACTAATTTGTGCTGAAATAGTTTTAGGTCAAAATTAAATTTTTCATGCCTTACAATGAAAAGCAACTTCTACATTATCCTGAGTTCTGCAAAGTGCAACCTGAGTTCTGCAATTATTTTAGCAGTCAAGTGATTACAAGAAAGACAAGAAAAGATTGGTAGAAGCATGGGAACAATGCAATTATAATAAACAGTTTCTAGGAAAAATTAGATAAAAGGAAAAGAAAAATCATCAAAGCCTATAATTCCATATTAATCTTCAATTACTATACTATTGCTTAAGGTTTATTGTCTTTGGATCCCAAGTAGAAATATCAAGAGACATTTCCTGATAGGTTTTAAAAGAAGTTAGCATAAGATACAATGCTTGATGCTATGCTTTTTATTTGGCTGGTTCTGTTGTTTGCTCCTGCTACTTTTTTTTTTTTTTTTTTGGATTGTGCTTTACTCAGTCCAGAAGGAAAGTGATAACATCACTATTTTCAAACAATAAAAATACTATATAACTTGGAAGGGGGCACATAGTCAATTCGGAAGGAAGGTAGGATGGGAAGCATGAAAACATAAGTCTGAAGAAGTATGAGTTGCTACTGTATTCTGTGGTAAGATATATCACAGCAAAGAAAACAAACAAAAACAGTTTCATACAATATACCACAAACATTTGTAAATTCAATGGGACTTAAGTGCATGCTTACTATTTGACTCGTGTATCAATTTTTTGCAGTGTTAGTATCTGTGTACATAATTTCATCAGCTACAACTAAGATGAAAATAGGTATAGGAAATTGTTATTTTTAAAATTAACTGTATGTGGGATATTCTTTTACTTTGTTCTAGCTATTTATGTGCTGCAAATACCTTCATGCAGCGCTCAAAGAGGCTTTTTCTATGCTTCAGTTAACCCAGCCTGCCAAATATTTGTCTGCCTGTCAAAGAAAAGCCTTAAAACCAGTTAAAGAAGGTAAATGGAACAAAAAAGTTTACTGGCATCTATCCCAGTCTGCCAGCAGCTAGGGATGCCCTGGGACAATTTGACAGTGGAGGCAGCACCACCCAGCCCTGGAGTTCTCTGAGCACGGGGCTGAGTTCTGCTGTCGACCCAGCCCAAAGTTCAATAGCCCAAGTGTTCAGCAGAGCAGGGAGGTGATTGCATTTGCCTTTGCAGGGCACCTGGGATAATAGGGCAATTCATAACTTAATAAATATTCTACTGCACATGTGCCAGGCTACAAAGAGCAAAGTCGGCTGCAAATTGGAAATGTAAATGTCCAGTTCTTTTTAAGTCACTCCCTCCACAAGGGCAGAAGGAAAACCAGTTTTATTTTCAAGCCATGTATTTTTCTCGAGCACTTAAAAATGGTGCAAGTGTTTTGATTCAGATAGGGCACAAATGAAGCTTGTACCAGAGACAAGTATAGAAAGTTGCACCTGAACAGAGATTGTAAAAAAGCTGAATGTAAATAAGGGAGCTGATAGGCTGGGGAGGCTGGATTTCCTTTTTAATAGCAGTTAATAGTATATATTACATAGTACAGTAAATTTAGAGAGATACCATATACCTTTTCCACATCCTTGCTTTTCTCTTAATTAACAGTTCCAATAAAATGGTCTACAGATAACACAAAGGCTACATGCAAAACCTTTGAAGGAATGTATCACTGCACTAACATGCCAACAGATCAATGTCACACTGATTTCTCTTTGTTAAGGTTACAGAACTCCAGACCTCCCATAAAGTTGTCAATCCTTGTACAGCTTTTGGGAGTGAAATGATTGCTATTAAATGTTTTCTGATTGAAAGGGGAAAATTAGATATCCCTAAAGTTTAATAAATCATTCCTGCCAACAGCTGACTTTCAGAGGAAACAAATGTAGTTAGTAGTAAATTTTAAAAAAAGTTTTCATGGTTGCACTGTTTGTTTTAAAAGTTATATATTGAATTGCAAACAGCATTTGAAATAGTGTCATGATCATAAAAAATCAGCACTTCCTGACTGATCACAGCAAAAGAGCCATTTGCCCAGGAAGACAAGGGAGGGGGCTGGAGGAGGCAAGGACATAAGCCAGAGACAGGGAGAGAAGAGACACTCCAAAATCCAAACCTATTTGCTACAACCTTTTCAATCAGTGAAGCTCTCACAGAAAAGTAAGTTTATATTGGCATGTGGCTTTCTGTGTTGTATGCTGGAGATACCTGCCCACTGGACTGTCAGGGTCCTGCATGACTTAAATTAAGGTCTTGAATTAGTGCTTAACCTCAGAGAAGGGCACTGATTCAGTTCAGAGTGATCACCTGCTCCCACCAGTCAGAGTCGTCTCTTGGTTTGTTCAATGAAGCATAGACTTCCTCTCGTCCCAGCCCCCAAAAACCCCAGCTGATCTTGAAAACTTGTTTAATTTTAATGGCTCTGCAAGCCATTACCAGACTGCCTGAGAGGGTTTTTAAATTTCCTTTCCTTTACAATGGCACTATTACTAATTTTGATTAATTAGTGCTATATTTAAGTAGCACCAATGACTTGCTGTACATGCTAGCACACAAGAAATGGTAGATTTTTCATTGGAAAAGAAATTTCCTTTATATGCAAAAGATTTTTAAGAGTAACAAACTCCATTTTCTGTATCAAAGGTGTGTTGCTGCTTTTGCCCTTTTTTTGTAGGAAAAATGAGAAATAATTCCTAGGTATTAACATAAGCATTTGTTCCTGCCAGAACAAAGGGATTGGCTCTCCCTCACACCAGGAACATTTCCCAAGAGTGTATGAGAATCAGTTATTTCTCTGAACAGGTAAGGAAATCTCAAAAAGCAAATACACCTGTAGCAGTGTAGTAAGGGGCTACTGGTAGGATGAAGTGACTGCTGGATGCTCTCAGAAACAGCTTCCAG